TAGAGACCTTTAGCATCAGGTTTACAGTTAACCACTAGGGATCAGGCCCAGCCCAAATACACAGCATCAATGAAATTCAATATGGTGGCTCTTCCAAAAACAACTTTGTTATTATGCCTAGTTGAATATCAAAAGTTCAATGGAAAACACCTTAACATCGAACTGCAGTTTGAGGTTTGTGGTACCTAGCAAGAATGTCATGCTAAAGGTCTCTAATACTGTCAACCTACAGTCAAAGTAAACACAACCTACAGCCACCCCTCTATTGACTTAGACAACCTTCAATAATGTTACTCCATATCATTAGATAGTTTCCAGTGTTTATTGTAATTGAAAGATTCTCCTGTTTTTATTGACATTGCATTATTTAGATGCTGTTGTAAATTGTCACCATCTTGACACCTTTGTGTTCCGGTCTTCACTTGCCAAGACAAAAGGAGCCACATTTTTTGCAGTTGATCTTGTAGTAAGTAACCATAATGTTGTGCCAAAGCCCATACATGTACTCAGAGGTTCAAAACCCCATGAGAGATTTTGAGGGTTTGTACTGGTTTTGGAAAGTCTTGGAAAGTTTTGGGAAACAATAATGCATATTTCCAGGACCTGGAAAGTTTTGGAAAATTTCTGTTTCAGCCACTGGGCTATGGTCCTATCTTGCAAAGATCTCTTTTCATCGTATTAATTAAAAACGCCAATGTTTATCTTTTCCTGCTGCAAATCAATGCCTGCTGGCACTTTTGGTCAGCGGAGTGACCTTGGGAACACATACCCAAAGCCTGGGAAGCCGAGCCTGCTGAAAAGGGCACAGCGGTTACCTTCAACACCCATCAGCCAACATATCAGCGTTAGTTTTGGAAATTTTAGTCGATAGGCTTTGAGAAACTTTTGGAAAAGTTTTGGAAATTTTCACTGAGGAATCTGTATGAACCTTGCAGGATATTTGGGGGGGGGGGGAGGATGTCATACATACACTATGCCAGTCACAACACATACACATGTATGACACACTGAGTTCCTCCATGACATGTTCATAGATAAATGGCTTATAGATTGGCTTAGCAGCTGAGGATGTAATTCTGGGCTTTAGAAGTAATATGATTAGGCCATAAAATGCCTTCGATATTTTGTATTCTCCTGGGAATGTTGCATTCTTGTGCAACAGTACCCACATGGATTTGAATGACGTAATAGGCTTAGCAGCTGAGGATATAATTCTGGGCTTTAGAAGTAATATAATTATTGAGAAAAAGAAGATTTCTAGGATTGTAATTCAGACTTTTATTCGTATTAATACAGCTACTCAGTTGACAGTATTCAATACCATGGGTTAGTAGAGCCTAAATCAAAATACAGCTTTCAGTTTTTGGTTAATAAGGCATATACATGAAAATATTGTTAAATTTTAGATCCTAGCACCAAGGATACACAGGAAAAAAAACTGGATTCCCATATTGGGAATTTCCTTGAATTCCCAATTTGAATACCAACATTGGGATTTATTGTTGGGAATAGGACGTTTGCACGATGGCATCATTTGACTCCTACTACCACAATGCTTCGCGAATTTTCTTTCTTATTTAAATTTGTATTCCCTCATGAGAATAGTAAGACAATTGGTGCTAATTAACTGAACAAAAGAAAGTGTGCAAGATTGTCTGGTAGTAGAGGTCAATGACGCCATGGTGCAAATGTCCTATTTCCTTCTAATACCCAATAGAAAAACAAAATAAGCAACAAACTAACATTGGGAATCAGTGCCACTTTCCCAATTTCGTTCTCTCTGGGAATTGGATGGGAATTCGTTGGGAATTCAAGAAAACTTCCAACAAATTCCCAATTTGGTAATCCGTTTTTTTCCCTGTGATAAAGTTCGCACCTCTTTTCCCATGTAAACGTAAATGCTTAATACCATCTTAATGGAGGAAAATGAGTCGTAAAAATCTATAACGATCCACGGAGTCACCTATGGACACTTGATACATGTATACAGTCCTTTGCAAAACCTTTGCAGCTGACCGGCTTCACAGGACTTCAACCTGTGCCTCGATTCTTAACATTAAAGAAGTTTCTTTTTTATTTGAATTTTGGAATAGAATTACTAGTTTCTTATAATAAAATAAAAATCGTAATATAAAAGCTGCAAATTCGGCTTAAAAAAACGTCAACATTCCGTACGATCCAGCCAACCGAAGTCCAGTCCATTCCATCTATGCATGGTTCCGGATTTTCCAAAATTAAAAAACACTTAAAATTCAGGGATTTAGAAGAAGAAAACAAGTTTTAGAAGTTAGGCATGTTTTTGCTATACATAAAGATTATCCATGGCCTTTCAAAAGTTGAAAATACGAAACCTTTTTTTTGTGATTCAAGATCCAGTCACTGACTGAGGCCCAGTCACTTGCAATCCATTTCAGTCACTTCCAATTAACATCTAATTTATCTTAATACCATCTTAATACCATCTGGAGAAAAATCAGTCGTAAAAATTTGTAACGACCCACAGAGTACCCTATGGACACATCATGATATATACAGTCCTTTGAAAAATGTTTGCCATTGACCGGCTTTGCAGAATTTCAACCAGTGCCACTATTCTTAATATGAAAAAATTTTCATCTAGTTTTTTATAATTTTAAATAAAAATCTTAATGTAAAAGCTGCAAATTTGGCGTAAAAAACCATCAACTTTCCGTACAGTTCCATGTACAGTTCCTGATTTTCCAATTTTAAAAACACTCAAAATTCGGGCATTTAGAAGAGGAAAACAAGTTTTAGAAGTTGGGCATGTTTTTTCTATACATTAAGATTATCCATGGCGTTTCAAAAGGTGAAAATTCAAAACATTTTACTGGGTTGCCTTGGCAGCCCAGTTGTAAAATGCCTTTTTTTGTAGCCTTGGTTCTTGCGGAATGTGCGTTCTTGTGCAAGAGTACCCATATATGGATTTGAATGATGTGTTCAGAAGTGTTTAGAAGTAATATAGTTGAGCAGTAAAAGGAGACTTTCTAGGATTGTAATTCAGATACTCATTACATTACTCATTACATTACATATTAATACAGCTACTCAGTAGGCAGCATTCTGGCTTCAATCGCATGGTTAGTACAGCCTAAAGGAAAATACAGCTTTCAGTCCCTAAGTAATCTTGAAGGCATATACATTAATATATTGTTAAATACTACGCTGTAACAGAGCTGGTAACTTTGGCCATAAATACTTTTCACTAAGTTTTGAATCCTTGTACTACTCAAGTTTCACAGTAAAACCTTTTCTCCGGTTACAAAACCACATCTGTATAGTTTTACCTATCAAGTGTCATTCCCCTTCACTGGTTAAAAGATATACAAAAGCAGTACCTTTTTATTAAAATAAAACACAATTGAAAGGTGTACACTTGTGAATAAATTTGATGTGAGAAAAAATGAGTGTTTGCAAGTTCTGAAAGAAAAATACACCTAAAATGTTCCAAAGAACCTGCTCCCAGATAGCGGTACATAATAAAGATTAGGTGTTAAATAAGCTCCAGCATACCAGCACATTGGGCAACCCAGTGGACCCTCCAAGAGCATCTTGTTATTATAAGATCATACATGCAGTTAATATGTTAATATATGTTAATAGTGTGTGATTTTTAAAATATTTACCTCAAAACAAGTCACAAAGTTCATTGCATTTCTATTTTCCCTCATTAGGTCAGGAAAACATCATCTGTGTTTGGTAGGTGTTTAAGGATGTCCTTTTCCAAGTTGATGCTCTATTTATAATAAAAGATTAATTAAAATCAAGCCTTGAAAGTTCAAAGTTGATCTTGAAAGGTGACATCATTAATTTACTACTAAGGATGAAAGACAACTTTATCCTCCTTAGATGCAAATGCACAAATCTTAGCTTACAAAAACTATTAACCAGTTACTTTGGAGGTTTTAACCAAATCACAAAATGGGTGGGGTGGGGGGGGGGAGTATATCCCACTACCCCCCAAGAGATCTGTGATGGAAAGCGACTGAAATGGGTCCAGGTCAAAGTAAGTGGTGGAGCACTTTTTTCCTTTGTTCACTGGTATTTTCAAATAATTAGTTTTGAAAACAATGATTATACTTGTCACTACAGTAACTGCAACTTTAAGTTTTGGTGTTTTCTACAGACCCATCTCCTCCATTTGAACTGAAACTTTGTGCTGCTGTTAAAAAGAAGATTCAGGTATTACTCAGTGAAAACTAATAAAAAAAACATTATTTTAATTAAATGTAATGAAAAACCTAGAAGATATATTGAAACTGTACCAACCAGCTGGATAGTACCCAAAAAACCTGTAGAAATCACAATAAGTGATTGAATGAACAATGGGAAAGATTAAAGGCAATGAATAAACAAATGAATGAATGAAATGAAAAATGAAATGCAATAAATGAATGAATAAATAAATGGATGAAGTAAAGAATTAAATGCAATGAATGGAATGGAACGAAAGTTTGAATGAATGGAATGGAAGTTTAGTTGCAATAAATGAATGTATAAATCATATAAAATCTATTATATATTTCAAATCATATATTTATTTCTTTTCATAGTTATACACATGGCAAAAAGGAGAGTTCCAGGAAACTCCACCGGAACTTGGTCTACCAGATATTGTGAGAGCTGTAGCTTGGGCAGGGCCTGACAATCTCTGTGTTGGATTTAAAAGGGAATATTCTATTATCAAGGTCAGTTTGAATTTTCTTTCATGTATGATCAATATTGATAAATGTCCTTTTTATTTGCTGAACTTTTGAAAACATTTGTAAGATAGTTTTCACTTGTTATTTTTTTAAATGATTGGGGGGGGGACCCTAATAAAATCCTTATTTGACTACTGGGAAGCTGAAACCTCCCTGTAAAAAAACAACCCATTTGAAAAATTCCAGCTTCAACTATTTTGAGCAAAATGGTCAAAAAAAAAAAAAAAAAAACCAGTCTAAATTGTCACTAGGAAACAAAAAACCTTTTCAAATAAAAAAATCTAGCGAAATTTATGCCTAAAGTTTAATTGAATTTTTATGAGGGGGATTCAGTCAATTCAAGTTGTCATAAGTTGCCATGAGCTTTTGGGGTATGCTTTCAAAAAATACCAAAATGTTTTTTAATGAATGTGTAGGCAGCAGCAGGATGTAAGGTTGCTTTGATCTATGACTAACTGCACTTGAGCATCTCTCATGAGAAATTACTCCCAACAGGTAAGCACTGGAAGTACCACAGACTTGTTCTCAACTGGAAAACACTTAGAACCCACTATTGCTACTCTGCCTGATGGAGGCCTTATCTTATGTCGTGATGACATGAGCATCATTACAGACGTGGCAGGAAAGCACATCCAGAAGCAATCTCTAACTTGGTCTGATACTCCTATTGCTATAGGTTAGTTCATGAGCAACTAACTATGAGTGATACATCAGATCACAGCAGATCAAGCTAACTTAGGGTAACCATAGGTGCTAATCCAAGTTAAAAACAAGCTAACTTGGATGTCTCAGTCTGCGCTATAAAGTCAGTTAAAAGGAATTTGAAATATTTTGATGGGAATAGTTGACATGTGCAATTTTTGGACGTTCGTAGAGGCGCACATGCCTGCATTTTTCAATAATAGTTCAAGAATCATAGTCATCCAATGACTTTGATGGAAATGATAGTATAGATGATCTAGTAAACTTAGAGTTATAAGTACGTTTTGCCATATGAAAGTACTTTAAACTGTGAATAAAGTTTATTGATTACAGCTTCTGGTTGCTACTGCATTTCACTAAAAAACCCATAAATTGAAATATTTTGAGAGCATCTAGCGAAAAAATGAGAATGGTGACCCCATCTTGTTATTGCAGTTTTTAAATGTCCATAACATAATTAAAAAAGTTATTTATTGGCAAAATTTCTTTCAAGGGAATTACCTTAAGTGCTTCATCTTAACAAAAACTTGCAATAAGTACATTTGTGTGATAGTATACACCTTTTTTTGGCCCACATATCGGCTACATTTACAAAGATCACTTTTATTTTAATGCAAGTGATTAAAAATTTAAATTTAAAAATTAAAAATTAAAATTTTTGCAGTTGTTAGTGTACCGGTGGTCACCAAAAACAGTGGTATGCTCAGAATGAATTTCTAGAGGTAGAATATACTCGAATACTCAAATACTCATCTTAAATAACATCTTACATAACATCTAAAATTTTTGTTCAACAGATTATGTAGCCCCATATGTGATTGGAATCCTTCCAAAATATGTAGAGGTCAGAACTATTAGTCCTAGGGCTTTAATACAGAGTATGGAACTGCAGAAGCCTCGTTTTGTAGCTAAAGGAAAACATATCTTCATTGCTTCCAACTCCTATGTCTGGCGGCTTGTACCTGTGTCTTTTCCTATGCAAATTCAACAGCTGTTGCAGGATAAACAGTTCAACTTAGCTCTAATGCTTGCAGTAAGTTTATTTTCAAATTTGGTCAAGTCCTACTCCCAATCCCGCCTTTGATCGAGTCCTCCACCCATCCATCCTATCTTCCCCCCTCTCCCCTTTGGTCGAACCCTCCACCCCTCCACCCTATCCTCCCCCCATCCCACACTCTGGTGGAGTACTCCCCCCATCCCACACTCTATTGGAGTACTCCCCCCATCCACGCCCTCTATGGTTGAGTGTTCCCTTATCACGCCCCCTCCCCCCCTGGTCAAGTCGCTACTTTGCCCATTTTAATAACACACCATGAAATAAAAAGATACATTTCTGACCTATTTTGGACAAGACACAAGACACTAGTTTTCAAAAGCATTTCAATCTAAAAGATTTTCGACAACTAAGATACCTGTATGCGTGCAGTGTGTACAAGTTTGACAATAGCTTGATTTTCTTTGTGGACAGGAATTGGTTGAGGAGCCTACAGCAGAGAAGGCGAGACGGAAGGAAAATATTCAAAATTTATATGCCTTTGAGTTATTCTGTCAAAAAAGATTTGATGAATCACTACAGCTTTTTGCAAGACTGCAAACAGGTATAACCTTGAGGAAGCATAGTATGTTCCTAGTCACTTATGGTTGGTAAGGTTAAATACTGACAGCTCAGTACTTAACCTTACCATAAGGCGATTTGGTGTAACTTGTCAAAACTTGTCATCGCTAATCACCACTGCAAGTACAGCAGTGGCACAGCTCAATGGGGTTGAACTGAAAGCATGTGAAGATGCCTCTGGCAGCCGCTATACAGTCCACGTATGCCCCCGAGCACAGCTCTAACCAGTTTGAATACCCTCAAGAATCAATCATATTGAGATGTTGTCTAAATTTTGTTTGTGTTTTACAGATCCTGCCCAAGTTATTGGTTTGTTCCCAGACCTTTTGCCTCCAGATTTTCGTAAACAACTAGAATACCCAGATCTTCCCCCTGATTTAAAGCCCAGTGAGGTGGAGAAGGGCTATGTAGCATTAATAGAATATCTTACTCAGGTAAATTAGCTTTAAGTTTGACATAGTTGGTTAGGGCACTGCCAGAAAGGCAAGAGGTCTTTGGTTTGATCTTCCATGGTCTCACCAACAGAATTCCTCTACTCTCTGCCTACCATGTGAGTACGGAGCCTCCTTTTATCTCCTTCTTCTCTTGCCCATGGAGGAGGTAAAAACCACTGCTCACAGGGTACTCTCTACCATAAGCTTCCTGGGAAAGGTCTTCATTGTGAAGGGGCCAATCATTTGATTTTTGAGGAGCTACAAAACGAATGAGAATCTTTGGTTTCCTTATGGAGCTTATCTCCTCCATTTTGTTCTGTTCTTATGTTCACTCAAGCCCTCCTTGTTTGGCAGAGATGCCACAGGCTTCCTCATTAATTTCTTGACTTCTTTTCTCAAAATCTGGCTAATATGGCAAAATCTTTGATATCTTTTTGGGCTTTCATCCTAAATGTTTAAAAATATCCACATATGTTAATCTGGACATGATTTTTCAGGTGGTAGAGGCTGTTTTACAACAAGTATCCCACCTTTGTGATCTAAAAATCAGCTTGTGTGAATATGGCCTACTGTCTACTACTTAATGGTCCCTTCTTAGATTTTATTTATCAACTAAACTTGGTTTTTTTAATTTAACAGAAACGCAATGAGCTTATCAAGGCTGCAGATGTAGCAGACGAAAACCAAAAGGATCCTGCAGAACAACCCAGTGAATGTACGTATGAATTAGCTGTACGGGGGGGGTGGGGTG